ATGGTAGTTATTTATTGGCTCCTTAAGAACTTATCTGAAACAAATGAATTAAATTTATTACTTAGAGTAATGACTAATATATCATGATCAAATAAAAAGATAGTAATTGGCATTTTATAATGTTTATTTCAAACCACTTAATTGTTTTTGTTCTTTATGGAAAAATGTTTCTTTTAATCATCAAACTCCTCATTTTTTCTTTTTATTTGAGTTAATAGTAAATTTATAGGAAATAGAAATAATAACCTCTTTAAAAAAATAAATAAAAAAAAAACGGGCAGTAGAGAAAACAATTCCACAGAAATGATTCCTCATTAGAGCTGTTTCGATTTGAAGGCAGATGACAAATTCTTGTGATATTTTCATTGTTAACTTTGTAAATAACTTAATAAGTAACTCCAAACCACCCTGTCCTTTATTAACTCATAAAATTTTCATAATATTTATTTTGTTTCCAAAGCTCTTAATTTGTATTTACTCTGATATTAATATCAAGTTCTTTTTTGATTTTGGTTTCTTGGAGACAACATACATTATAGTTTTATCAACATCCCAAGTCAATAATTCCTGCTTTTCTTTCTCCAAAGGTTCTCCAACATTAACAATAGTTACACGAGATGCTGTTTCTTTCTGTTAATCATGATTTTTAACAGACAGATGCACCATATATATATATATATATATATATATATATATATATATATATATATATTCATTGAGTTATATGGGTATGAATTTGTGACCCTGGGTTTCACACTTTTGTGATCATCAGACAAACTGGTTTATTTTAAAAAAAAATTGAATCTATTTATGCTTGTTTGTATTTGATTATGTTTGGCGGTGGGAGGGGGAAATTCTCTGTGTTTGTTTGGGATGACACTCTCACACATACATACAGGTGTTTGCATTTTAGTTCACACAAACATATCCATATAAACAATCCGAGGTTAGGCACAGATACACACCCATGCTTTCAAGCATACATATATATGCAATTGTAATTCTATTTTGATGTTGAGACTGTTGCGATGTTCTTTCAACAAGGGGCAGGTTGAGGTGTTTTTGACTGTTTTCACATCGTCCAAATGCATCGCCAGACAAATTTACACTTCCTTTTTACACTTTTATTATTACTATTTTTGCCATCATTATCATGATTACCACAACTATTATGATAATTACCATTGTCATTTTTTTACCATTTACACTTTTGTATCAGTCATCATTAGGGCTAAATTTACTATTAACACATCCATAACTATTATTAACATTATGATATCAATTATTACCACTATCAACATAGTCACTAATACACAAGCAATCAGCATTGAAAATACAAAGCATTATCATCACCATGTCCATAAACAGAACCCACTTAACCAAAGTGGTGATGAAATGCCCAGACCAATAGGAGTATACGTGTACATCTATATGTGTGAGGAAGTGTAAGGTTGTCTGGCAACACAGGTGGCCAATCTGAAGAGTGTCAAGAACACTCCAACCTGCACCTTGTTGAAAGAACATTGCTACATACAGACTCAACACTGAAATAGAATTACAATTGTGTATGTATGTATGTATATTGGATTGTTTATATGGGTGGGTTTTTGTGAACTAAAATGCAAACACCTGTATGTATGTGTGACTGTAGGTGTGAGAGTGTCATCCTAAACGAACACAGAGAATTTCCCCCTCCCACCACCAAACATAATCAAATACAAACAAGCATAAATAGATTCAAGTTTTAGAAAAGTAAACCAGTTTGTCTGATGATCACAAAAGCATGAAACTCAGGGTCACAGTCATATCCATACAACTGAATATGTTAGCCCTATCACTGACATTGAGTGCTTTCCACTAAGTACTGCGCATATAAAATACATACACGCACACACACACACACACACACACACACATATATATATATATATATATATATATATATATATATACAAATAAATATATATATATATATTTATTTGTGTATATAGGCAGCAATCCTTCTTTCATGCATGTTTCATTGAATATGACAGACAAGGTGCTTTGATTTAATTTTTTATACAATTTCTCATGTGAAATTATAATTTTTTTTCTTTTCAGAGGATAAATTATATAAAAACTGTCCAGTTGTTCCTTTCTTTCTGAGTGATTTTTTGTTAACAGTTAATATATTTCAAGCTTGAAATTGGCTAAATGTATAGCCGAATGCAGTCGGAAAGAAAGCACAATTGCAAAGTTTTTATATAATTTATCCTCTGAAAAGAAAAAATTATAAGATCATATGAGAAATTGTATAAAAAAATAAAATCAAATCACCTTGTCTGTCATATTCAATGAAACACATATTTTATATATATATATATATATATATATATATATATATATATATACACACACACACGTAATATGAAATTTATAGGTGCAGGTAGGACTTGATTGGCTTCAAGAAAAAGAATCACTTGGTTTAATAGATAAATTTATGGGGAAAGATGTGTAAGTAGCATTTTTAACTTAATGACTGATAAATTGCAAGTTAGTTTATGGGTATCATGATACAAATTGTAGGTTTAGGAACTGTGTTAGGTACACCAGTCGGTTTATTGGTTTGTACTTGAAGGTAAAACAGTGAAACTTATTATGGGGTAAACAATGTACCTGAAGAATTTCTGTCGAGGGGAACATAGGGTATGTAGCCACAAAACATTACTTGACTGGTATAATTTTGCTAGTGAAATTTGTGTGAGAACGACAAAACAAGACAGGAAATTTGGGGAGAAGGTGTAGTTGTCAAGATACAATATTCTGCAAGGGAAAATATAATCGGAGTTAATGGTTACTGGGTTTTCAGAGGTAGATAAAGATAAGGAAAGAGGTTTTTTTTTTTTTTTTTTTTTTTTTTAGGGTTATTGAAAAGAAATTGGTGTCTATTTTAGTTATTACTCCAAGTTAAAAAAAATATATATATAAAAATCCATGATTCCTCATACACAGTAACTGCTGGAATGCATACACCTCGAAGGTGGTAGAGGGGTGAACTACTTCAATGTGTTTTTGGTCTCAAAGTGGTACTTACATGTTAGTTGATTAGTGTTAAAAATAAAGAACCTGGAAAGGATTTTTGGAAATCTATATAAAACAGAAGATATCTGTGTATATGCTATTTATGCATGTCCACATTTCTCTGTTGATTTTGATGAAATTGTACACACACACACACACACACACATTGCAAATTTACTAAGGTAGGCCAATCTCCAGCCTCCCACCCCAAGGTTTGACAGAAAAATCAATAAATTTGAAAGTGGCTACAACTTTTTCTAAATATGAAGGCAAAGTTACACACAAACAAAAGTTTTACTAGATGAGCTGATGTTTTTTGCATTTAATGCAAAACATAGCTCATGTAGGGTGCTTGATAGTTTTCACACAAAAAAATTGCAAAATAACTGAAAAAATTAGGATTTTGATACTACTAAAAATAAAAACTAGAATTACTTCATTTTTTTATCTGATTTTCTTTGAACATGTTGCAAAAAAAATTTCCATCATGCAAGAAATAGTGTGGTTTTTAGTTCTGTTATATTTCCCCTGCATATAAATGAAAAACCATGAAAAACTGTTCAAAAAGCATGGTTTTTCATCTGATACTTCTCAAATATTTGCCATGTAAATTACATATGACACACAAATTGTGTGAATGTTTGCTTTAGATTATTTCAGTTAAGTGGATGAAATCTGAAACAAACCAGATCCAAAATTGGCATTTGAACAACCTTTGATGCAAAGATTGCTTGAGAGGGATTATTGAAGCGTTAAGAGGGAAAATTTCTCGAAGAATCTCTTATTAACCCCAGCTTTACAGTAAATGTACAAAAGAGCAAAGGGTGTTCATGCATTTGCACTTGCAGATGAATTAAGCTCTGATGCTTCATCCCTGTTTTTGTTTGATTATTAGATTTGTGAACAGTGCTATATTATTTGAGAGTTATTATAGCCATAGGAAACTTACTGAATATCTAAAACATTGAAACAATTTAACCCCAAGAAATGGCCACACAATAAGTTTTTATCAATGGAATTCCTTTATTAAGAACAGTCAAATGCTTGCAAAGGACATACCATATAAAAAGATGAGGTGAGGGAGTAGCTTAGTATACCAACGGATAATGCATGCAAGCATGGATTCAGGCAGACATTTCTAGAGAGGGGATGTGGTTATACAATTGCAACTATATACACCCAGTCAATGCCAGGTACTTTGGCTAGTATTCAATAAAGAGAATGTGGGAGAAAAAGAACCAGTTCTATAATATGAGAGAAGCCTTTTTATGTGAAGAAAAAAAATAAGTAGCCTGATAGCTACCATAAATATCATTTGACATTGTTGTTTAAGAAATTTAATTCAAATTTTTTTTTTTTAATAAGTAGGCAATAACTGCCATTTTGAATCTTTTTTTCCTACTGCCACCATGCAGTGTTCCCAGTAAATGGAATGCCAGCCTTTTTTTTTTTCTATAATTGGTTTTGTTTGACAAAGTTGTCAGATGAACAAATAACATCTCTCAGTTTTTAGTTTTCTTATTTTTGTGAAACATTCTTATTTTTTAAAAGACTTGTGTGCCTCTGTCTGTGCATCTACATCTGTCTTTGATCAGTATAATACTGGTGATTTTTCTTTTAAGCAGGTAAGTTAAGTAGTTTGAGGTCCCTGCCACCTTTTTTCATTTGAATAAGTTGTAATTTTTAAATTTATTTCATTTGTATTGCAAAATTTCTACATTTTTCAGTCCTTTTTTTTTTTGTTTTTTTTTTGTTACAGCCACTAAAAATTAATTTCATAGTCATTGTATAAACAAAAATAGTCATATAAGAAATGACATTTGAGTAGTTCTATTCTTTCTCTTTACTGACATACTTATATATATATCTTACATAGTATAAAAAATGATTTATGTTTATTCTAAATTTCTGTGAATAAATTTTATTTTATTTTATTTCAGATCGAGTAAATCGAGAAAAAAGACGACTAGCCAGATATCATCCCTATTCTTCACATGTTTATCCTTATCACAAAAGCATGTCTCCCGCTCGTATAAAACCCACTTACTCCTCTCATTCCTTTGTCTTTTTGAATCCCAAAATGAATTATACCAAAGTCAATTCCAGACACACTACTAAAGCAGCATCTACTTCACAGGCAGTAGCATCTACATACTTGTGCAAAAAGCACCCAGCAGTTTCTGTTAATCGAACAGTTAATCACAAGAATCTCACATTTAAAAAGGTGCATGTGACTCCTACACCTAAAACAAGTACAAATGTTGCTCAAACCTCATCCCAGCTAAGTACATCAACTGCTAGTAACATGGACAATCAGCTCTCCAAGGGAGGTACTCTTAAAAATGTCAAAACAGGCTCAAAACTTAGAACTTTGGTTTCTTGTACACAGCAGCAAAAATCTACAATAGGTGTTGAAAGTGTGGCACGTTCTGAAAAATCAACCCCTGAAAAGCTGGTGTTAAAGTCTAAATTGAACTCTCCTTTCTCTACTGCAACCAGGACTTGTATTACAAATCGCACCTCCAAAGTGTCACCAGCTGCAACCTTTTCTACTCTATCAAAGATAAAGCCTGTGACTTTTAAGGCTCCTGTGACAAATACTGCTTCTATATCACCTTTTGTGGAACGACGCCGTTACAAGATTGTACGGGAACACAAGCTTCCTGCTGCCAGCCAAACTGTTGCTTCTACAATGACTAGAGAGAGTTCGTCTTCTTTGAAGTCACACACTGTAAACACACGCTTTAGCTTGGTGAAAAGGCCAGACACATTCATGCAAAAGAGTGGTTATTCATATGTTTCAAAGCGGTGCCTTCATAGAGCCAAAGTCATAAGTCTGTCAAATTCAGAAGCTGGCAAATCTTACATTAAGAAACTTGGGAAACTTATAATTGATGCTGGCAAGAAATTTGATAAGAAACCTCTAGTTATGGTGTCCAAGCGTAAAATCAGTCGTGGTAAGGATCAAGTTTTTCTATCAGCATGAAAAATCAATCTTTTTTTTTTTTTTTTTTTTTTTCCCCACATAACTTTATTAATTTGGTCAGCCATCCTATTTATATGCTTATATGAATATGAGGTCAAGATCCTAATTTTATGATTGGATTGAGGTGAATGTGGACTTGAATATTATTACTTTATTGTTGATTACTTATAATTATCATGAATATATTGGTAAATAAACAAAACAATACAGATTATGAGCAACATAAGATTTTTTATTTTTTAAATTGTCTATATTTATAGTAAATTTAATAGAATCACATTAGACAAAATCTAATTATTCTAAATCAATGATTTCTCCTTTCTCAGTTGTGGTTTTCACTTTTTGAATGACATTATATACCCACCTCAGAGAAACTTCTTGGCTGCTTTCTTAGCTATGTGAGATTTAACTACTCCCCACCTGTAAAAAAAAAAAAAAAAAATCTTTGTGCTTAGGAAGCGGCAGTCTGTTGTGCAGCATCAGATGCTCTAGAGTCTATTAGTATTCTGGGGACTTGCTTTTCAAAGATCTTTATGTAGCCAAGAGACTGCACTAAGACTGCAAGCATCACTGTAGCTCAGTTGAAGGCTTTTTAGAACTTAGTGATTAATCTGTCAGTTGTAATTAAGACCATTAGTTTGTTTGGCCTCCTCATTCACAGCAGCAGCAGCAGCTGGTCTGCTACTCTGGTCAATTTCTCTTTTCTCTCTAGGAATGCCATTTATTTACTTGGACTCTTACTCTGCCTACATCAAGTACAGCGGTTCTTGTGAATGTTTACAACACGTTCAAAAACAGAAGTTCTTTACTTTGTATGTGCTCCCAGAATGGAATTCATTTTGAAAAATTATTATGGGTAGAAAAAGATTATTTGATAAGTCTTTTTTTTCCCCAGGTTTGTAGATATTTAGTGTTTATAGCTAACAAAACAAACCTTGGAATTCTGACTAATTCTTAAATTCAATCTTCAGAATGGGAATTACATTTTGATCAACTCATATTATGAGGTTGTTTAATATAAAATTTATTATTTATTAAAATAAATGAAGGCAAGGAATTATTTAAGATATTTCACTTGGCCTCTATAAATATTTTTTCATCTGGGCAACAAGTTGTAAATTTGTTTCCTAAAGAATTCTTTACAACAAAATTCAGTTTTCAATTTGAATCTGATTGGAAAACATCTGCACCTTAAAGTCATTATTAGCTTGAAGGAAATCTAATCTATAGCAGTCTTAAATGCCCTCTCGCATGACCTGTCCAATGAGAACATTCAACCTCCATGGATTGAATAAAAGATTCATTTTAAAATCCCTACACACCTGAACAATGTTGACAAGTATGTTGAGATGAGGACACTTGTGTAAATAATTTTTTTTTTTTTTTATGAAGCTGATTGGGAGGTGATTGCTTTTGGTTGGGTCAACTGAGAGAGAGGAGTCTGATGTTTTTTAGATGCTTGAAAATCCCCAATGATACTACCTATATATGTTACTGAAGTACCCTAACACACTGCAAGAGTATTTGAGATATGCTTCATCTAAAAAAAAAAAAGAAAAACCAAAAAAAAAACAGCAACAAAACATTCAGATATGGTGTGGTGTAGTCAGAGGTATTGAATTAATGGTATCCTTATAACGAGATAAGTTGGGAAAAAAAATCTAGGTAATTTGCAACTGAATGCTAATATATTTGAAATTATACTAGTGTTGGTTTTTTTTTTTCTTCCAAGGGAGTTATTTGTTACTACCTCTTATTTACATATGAATAAAAAATCTGGATATAAAAAAAACTAATAGCTCCCTTTTTGTACAGAAGTTAGCATAATCTTCGAGGGAACAAATTCTAGTATCATTTAATAATTGATGGTTTGACATGTATTCTTGTAGACATTTTTACAGGTACTACATGATTACAGTTGAAAATAACATTTCACTAGTGCATAATTAAGAAATTTTGTCATTGCTGGATCATTTTTCAAAATAAATTTAATCAGACAAAAGATGACATAAATTATACTGACAAGCTCCTATTAATCTCCAATAGAAAATGATTTAGTTATATTTCATAAGGTGATGGAGCTCTATATGTCCTAAATTGATGCCTTGTTAAGAAAAAAATATTAAATTACAATTTTATTATTGATAAATTCACTTCATTATTAAAACATTTTAGGTGCAATCAAAAGCAGGCAATATAAAACTAGTTGATTTTTTTTTTCTATTTACATTCTACAAGTGTATAATATAATTCATTCTCTGAAACTAAAAGTTATCAAATAAAGCAATATTTTATTTTACAGTTTTATATTAGAGCATTTTTAAGGAAAAGACTTTAAACCTGTTAAACTTATGATCGAGTAACACTTGCCTCAAATTTCATAGTGTGTTGGTATCTGCATTAAAGGCAATATATGCATGAATATTTTTTTCTTTTTTTAATATCAAATAAGGCATTTACTGAATTTAAATTGATGCAATAAATACAAAAAAATAATTAGTTGAAGTTTTGAAGACTTATGGTCTAACAAACCTTTGAAATTTTGTATTTCTCTTTCATAGTTAGAATTTGTGAAATTAAAAGTTTTCTAATTTTTCTATATTCAAGGAACAATTTTTATATTGGGATATTCTCACGTCCTTTTTTTCTCCTGGTAATTTTATGAAAATTGAAATTTTCTTTTATTTTAAAGGATTTTTTGATCACTTAATATTAGTCTCAAAATTTCATGATGTTTAAATTTTTGACAATTTCTGTTCTGTGTAAATGTGTATAGGGTATTAACAGACTATTATTATGAAATATGTGCTAAATCTTTGTGTCAATATATGAAAGTTAACTGACTTTTTTTTTTTATCTTAGTACTTCAAATAATGTCTATGTATATAATATGCTTGTAATTTTATCCATTTTTACAGTTCCACTTCAATCAACTCCAATATTGCCAAAAAGGAAGTCATCTGTCATTCCTCCAAAATCTAAGTAAGCTTCAAATTCTTTAATATTTGGCTTCAATTGATATTTCAAGGAATAAAATTGATTTTACTGATATTTGCATGCGTGTATCTCATATGAGATAGAAATGTGGCAGGGAGTCAATACTCATGTTAACACATGAGAAGTAACCTTTTTGAAGAAATAATTTTATTTTGTTTGTTTTGTTTTGCATGTAGATAAAAATAAAACAATAGTTATGTAGCATAAGAGTTAGAATTATAGATAATAGATTAAATTATTCTTTTACTGGTGATTACTTTTTTTCTTTTATTTTTCTATTCATGCTTACTAAAATATTTGCTGAAATTGAGGCACCAGGTTATATTTTTGATATCTGTATTATATCTAAATTTTTTCTCTCCTCCTCTTAGGTTGAAGGTTGACCATCGGCGCTTTGTTTATCATAACTTAAACTCTTCAAAGATTCTGATTTCACCTTTAGCTTTAAAACATAAATTGTCTCCAGAAAATCAGAAGAAATGGTTTTTAGGTGCTAAACGTGAGTATTGCTTAAGTTTTTTTTTTTTCAATCCTTTGGAATTTTGTTATTTTAAGTTTTTTAAACTTTGTATTCAAATATTTTAAAAATATGATTTTGTTCTTTGTCTCATGACTTGAAATTTTAATGCAGATTTTATGAATGAGATTTTTTTTAATGATTAACTCTGTTCTACAGAATGTTTTCCTAAAATGATTAACCGGAAAATTAATACCATTAACTAATATCAGCAGCATGTTATAATTTGAAAATTGTTTTCTGACATTATGAAAGAGAATTGCTCAATGGTCTTAAAGATAAGTTCTTGTATGATATAATCTTTTCCTCAAGGCTTTAGAACTATTTCAGATTTTTTGCTTGAATTTAGAATCGAGCAATTAATGTATTAAGTTTTTCACCACCTTATTTACTGTTTGTAATCAATATATTTGTATTCAGAAATTTGTTTTAACCCAATTCTTATTCATTATCATCTATACATAAATATATTATTATTTTTAAATTATTTTTTGTTTCAGGTTTCATTAATACAAAATTCAGCAAGCTGCAGACTGTTACTGTCCAAGGAGTAAAGTACCGTGTTGAAGCAGGAGGAAAAAACCTGCGACGACTTGACTCTGGACCCAAGGTTTTGCCAAGTGAGTGTTAAGGTCTTTTGTAATTCCAGCAAAACTTCTATATTTAGCACCATAATCTTTCCTTAGTAAATTGCAATATGTGTTCTTGTATCATTGTGTAAAAGCAGCATGCTTTTATGATTAAACAGTTGTCCAGATCAAGTGGAATCTTTGAGAGAAGAATTTCTCAATTGAAACTATTGCTAGCCTCTTTGGACACTTAAAGCTTAATTTCCATAGACAGAATGAAATTCTTACCACTTTGCTGAAGAGCCTTGTGTGTGTATAGCAGTTATATATGTTCGAATGTAATATCCTATAATAAAGAAATATATATATTTGTTCCCATTCCAAAGAACATTGTGATCACCAATTTTATTTCCATATATTTCAGTAAGTGGTAGCTGAGGGTCAGTCAGTTTAAAAGACTCAAAACTTTGAAATGACTGTAAAACATGCATGTTACATGCTGTTGGGTAGAGTAGCTAATGGCTTATGTGTAGTTTGTTTATGCATTCCTGTTATATCAATGCAAATGGGTTTCTTTTATTTTTAATATTTTTTAATATTAAGCTCCAAGTAAGTAGCAGAGACAATGGATGTTATTAAAAAAAAATATGAAAAATAAATTATGAAATAATAGCCAACTAAGTGGCTCCATGTTGATTTGGATAATGAGAAGGGACAGAGCTTGTTTCAATTTCCCAGTGGGACACCCTTCCCTTGACAAGACCCTCACCATTCATTATTAACTTCTATCTTCCAGTTTGGTCCCAAAAACTATATAAAAATCTGATTGAAGTAGGGGGGGGGAGCAAGCAGATTCATTGTGGACGATACACATTCTACAGCATAAAAATAATGTTCCCATTAAATGCAAGCAGAGATGTAGTAAGATGCCCTACATGATTTGAGTATTGTGCAATTGTTGTCAGCTGCAACCAATGTCATTCAGCTAGAAATTTATAAACCACCCGATGAGAAGCTACTAAGTCTACAACCAGATAACAAGCCACCATTCATAAAGGTAAAAAAAAACAAAAACAAAGCTATATCCACTAGTGATTACCACAAAGCTGAGCCAAGCAAAAACCCCAAAACTGCATACAATTCCCAAGAACATAAAAGTTGAAACATCCAAAACATCTCCAACACTTTACCAATTAAAAACTCCCTCTCATGACACCCCCAAAAAACTACCAAAATCCTGCAAACAAATCACAAAGATCTTCAATCTGGCCCTTCTCTCTGTGAAGGATATTTTTTTGTCAATAACTCCAAAGAGACCCCCCCCCTTCCTGCCCCAAATCATGCCAGTGATCCTCCTCAAAACAAACGCATAGATGTCACTCCAAAAATCCTCTGGAGAAAGAAGAAAAAATAGTTAAAAAAATGGGAACAGGCCTGTCTTCCTCCACAAAATTTCAACCTAATAAAATCACAATAAATAGTCCAATACTATAACATAAAAATCGTCAAATGAAAGCTTTTGTTACTTGTATTTTCATGTTTAAATTGAAAAATTACATAAAGCAGTAGATAAATGTAGAATATCTGTCATTGTTACTGTCATTGTGATTTTTGTCCTGTAAGATTTATATTTGACATAAAATAACCCAAGGATTGATAGGTTGTTAAATTAATCAACCTAAAGTAGTCCACTTTGGATACAGCATGATTAAAATCCTACAGTTGGATTTATAAATTCTTTTTCTTGTAAGTCTTTATTTATATATACAATATAAAAATATTACTGCTCATTTGCTTTATTCATAATCTTCATTGTTTTCTAATTGCTAATAAAACGTAAACAGAATATTGTACCTTGTTTGAAATGACATCACTAAATACATAGTATGTTTGCTGTGAAATTTGAAAGATAAAAAACATTTAATGATAATCTTATATGGGAAGATATTTTATTCATGGGTTGATAAACAGAATGTAATAAAAATATATTTTTGCTAATGATTTTACTTTTGTGTACAATAGAACTGTTAAGTGTCATCAACCTAATGAAAAAACTTCCCTTTTACATTCATTAGCTTTTGTTTATTTAATTTTAAACCGGTTTTATTTTTACCGACACTTTGAAGCTTTAACCTTTTTTTTTTTTTTTTTTTTCATATAGAAATTATCAAATTTGACTTTCAATCCTTGTAAAATTATCTTGTTTTTTTTTATTGTTCAGGTTCAAAGGTTTCTCTTATCTCTAAAGTCAGCAGAATTCACATTGGTGGTGCCATCTTTACACGTACATCAGCAGGTGTCCTTAAACGGGTCAACACTCACAAACTCATTGTTGCAAAGTAAGTGACTTTTTTTATTTTTTTTAAAATAAAACCTTATGCTAATTGCTCAGAATCTTGACATTAGGCTTGCAATAGTTTAAAATTGAAAATGTGAAAGTTATTTTTTTTATTTTGTCTGTAAGTCTGCTACTTACTTGGAGCTTAATATAGTAATATGTAGGTTAAATGAATTTTCTAGTATCAATAAATGAACCGAATAATTAATGTTCCCCTAATCTGAAAGTATATACTAACCCACAATAAGCAATGATAAACTGTTCAACTTGGCTCATCCGAGGGCAAAGACCAAGGTGTGCACAGTCCTCATAAAAGAAATGCTGTTTGCTGATGACACAGTGCTGACCACACACATCAAACACAGTATCCAACAGCTGATTAGTTAGTTCAAGCATACCTGTAAGGAATTCAGTCTAACTATTGACATAAAAAAGGAATGTGGTGGATCAGGATGTTTCTGCATCTCCAATCAACATCGATGGTGTGTTACTTGAACTCACAGATCACTTCACATTATCTGAGCTCTACCATCACCAACAATCTATTGCTTGACCTGGAAATTGACCACTGCATCACCAAATTGAGCAGGAGAGTATGAGACAAGAATTAGCTGACCTTGTGCACTAAGCTCAAAGTATTCCAGGCATGTGTCCTTAGTACTTGCTTTTACAGCTGGATGACATATGCCAGGCAGGAAAATCACCTAGAAAGTTTCCATTTCTGCTGCCTACTATGTGTCTTCATCATCACATGGAGGGACAAAGTTACCAACACTCCTGTGCTGGGGCAAACAGACTCTTGGTGTGTGCATTTTCTCCTGTCAATATCATCTTTGATGGCTGGTTCACATACATGAAATTAATGACGACTGTACATCAAAAGACTGTTTTAAGGACATCTGCAATAGAGACCTCCAAAATTCACAGACAATCGACCCTAGTAGCTGGGAACACCTAGAAGACAATTCCAATGGCTGGCAAGGAGTCATGCAAGGTGAAAAAAAGTGAATCCAACAGTTGGAGATCAGAAAACAATGTAGGAAGCAATCACAAATCTTTATTCCACATTTCAACTTCATCTGTCACACCTACAGAAGAAAGTGCCATGCAAAGATCCGACTGTTAATCCATGCTGTTTACAAAAGGGCTGAATTTTGAACACACGGCGGGTATTACCATTATTTTGGGAGATAACAGTTGCTTACTATTATCCTAAGTTATCTTTCTGAATAGATTAGCATTTTACACATGCTTTAACATGAAATGATTTTGCTTTTAAAGATTTCAGTAAGTTCCATTCTGTCGTTGACAAATATAACTTAAGAGTAACTTTAATCAGATTTTTATATCTACTACTTTAATGTGTAATATATGAAATATTGAAGTATTTAATCATTAAAACAAAAAATAAACCTGTTCTGCCTGGAAGTTTTAAATTCCAACTGAAACAAACTTTTATGAAAGTTTTTGTTACTTATCATTTAAGTCAGGGGTCAGCAACCTTTTGGAGATAGTGGGCCAGAAATCTCTGCATTGTCTCAGAGAAGGGGACATGTTATCAAACGTGTTAAAATAAATTATCTCAACCTCAGGCTGCTCTGTCCAGAAGGCTACCTTGGTCTGGAGGTTTAATGAAAAAACAATGAAGTTAATGTTATATTATTTAAACAAAATTTCTTATTTTACTGCAGGAATAACAGGATAACAACACAAACAAAAAAAAAAGTGCAAATTCCTTACTACAAGCGAAATACAACTAGAAATGGCAAATCATTTAATGAGAAACTTGTTTCTGCTTATTGTTTGATAACTTCTTCACATTAGGTAAAATATTTGTCGATGACAGGAGCAAAAGATCGTCCAGGTTGTCAGCACCCAACCTTGTTCTAAAACAACTTTAATATATTTCATTTTTGTAAAAAGTTATTCACAAGCATATATGTACTTCCAAATAATGATTTTCACATTATTCAGTACGTTTTTATATATTTCACTTGGTAAAACATATTTTGATTTAAAAAAAATTCTTCCTATTGGAAGTTGATTAACTCCAATTGATATTTTTCTGCCACTTGTTCTGCAAATTAATTAGATAATGAGTGTCCAGGTGTTGGCGGGCTGGTCAAAAATCCTTTATGGGCCGGATGTGTCTAGGGGGCTGGGGTTTTTTTTTATTTTTTTTTTTTTTATTTAAGTGATGCATTTTTTTCTCGAGTCACAAAGGCTATGGTTGAAATTCCATTAATTTTAATTATGAATCTCATTGCTTTTTGTTAAAATGTTCTTTACTTTTTCTTTTTCCTTCCCAGTCGAGCTGTTAATAAAAGTATTGCTACAGCAGTAGCCAAGGGTAGAAAAGTTCAAAGCAAACCAGCCAAAAAGCCTTGTCTGTACTTCAACAATTTTGGAAAATGTAAACGTGTCAAATGTCCTTATGTTCATGATCCAAAGAAGATTGCTGTTTGTCGGAGGTAGGTTGTTAACTATTATTATTGTTTTTGGACCATTGTATTGAAGGGAGTGGAATGAGTTATCTCCTCCTTGTTTATGCAGAATTGATGCTTAATTCTTGTTGGTAGAGCAGTAATTTTAAAGTATGACTGTCATGTGCAGACCTCTGCTGTTTAATGAAACTAAAATAAAACTGAAAGATTCTTCATGAATTGGTAAATTGCATACAATGCTTAAAAATGAAATTTAACAACATTGATATTAAATCTCTTAGGATTTTTCGTTTTATTTAGTAAAAAGTTTGGTAATATCACTAACTCTTATTTAATGCTTATGATATTTGTATTGTGTTCGTTTTTTGAAAATTTATATATGTTTATAGACAAATTCTTGTGAAATATGTAAATTTAAATATGATAATATGAATTCTATTGTTGGAGTATTATTAAACATATTACTTGCAGATATTGATAATTTGACAATACTTAAAATAGACTTAAATGGGTCCATTCATAAAAAAAAAAATTTTTGATGAAAATAATTTTTGTAGATTATCAGTCTTTATACTTTCTTTAGGCCATGACACTTGTCACAATTGAAAAATAGATTTGTTATTGATCCCTGACTTTTACAGGCTTGTTGGCCTAACTAACCTATTATTTACAAATGCCAAATCTGAAACTCTGCTAACATCATTGATAGCTACATCTTTTTTTTCTGAATTTTTTTACTTTTTCATTAATTTTTTTAAAACTATTGTTTAAACTTTAAAAAAATTTAAGAACTTTTTTTTTCTAAGCAGATGCACAAATATTTGAGGTTCATAATTATGTTAAATAAAGAATAAGTGGATACATAATTTTATTTATGTAATTTTTTGTTTTTTAATTAAAAATGAATATATGTATGCATGCAAAAGAATTGGTATACAAAAATCACTTGGGGCCAATAACTCTGTAAAAATCAACGATTTGATTCTAACGAGTGTTCTGGCTTAAGGAAGGTCTAATAATGCTTTTATATATATATATATATATATATATTTGATATCTCTTTTCTTTCAATGAGTGGATCAGTCTATTTAAGTAGTGCTGATTATTCGCAAATTAGTTGCTCTGACATTAAGCATCAGTTGTGATATTAGTAAAAAGTAATTACTCAGATGGAATAATATAATGGATTCTAACATATAATAACAACATAACAATAGCCATAGATTTCTTGGACAAATCACTCGAGTTTATTACAGTATTAGGAGATAACATGTTAAAGTGTAATTTCAATTTTAAACCATTTGATTTGAGTAGTTATCTCCCTTTGATTCTGTAGGCGTCTTGCAAAGAAAAAAAAAAAAAAACATAATTTTGTAGACGGAAATTTCTACATTTGAGGCCAAACTTCTTGATGTTAACTGGAGCAAAGGATGGCTTGTAAATTTTAATGACTCCAAAACAAAACTACTTTGTTTAATCATCATTTTCTGTCTTCCATCTGATGCTAACCTCCAGACATTTTTCACTGACATGAAGTGGTGTGATTATATTGAATCAGTTGCTACGTCTAGAATTAGGAAAATTTGTTCACTGTGTTGTGCTAAACAATTTTCCCCCACCAGAATCCATCTTGCACATTTATAAATCCAACATTCGTCCCTGTAGTGAATACTGCTGCTATATCTGGTCTGGTGCTCCTACTATATATCTAGAGATTCTTGACAAAATCCAAAGAGGAATCTATAATGTAGTTGATCCTGACCAGGCATTTCCACTTCTGTCACTTTCTAAGGCTGTGACATGGCTTCTGTCTGTCTTTTCTATATAAATATTTTCATGGCAATTGTTCTGATACTTTCCACCTTGGTGTCTCAACTGCACGAATTTAAGCATATTGGCAACTACGTCACACTGTTGAAGTAGCTAGATTTAACTATCTGTTCTATTCTAATAGTTTCTTTTTTTTGTCTACGGAACTCACTTCCAGTTTCTTGCTTCACTGCCACCTACAATCTTCAAAAATTTAAATGCAAAACCAATTGTCATCTTCTGTCTTCCTGAAACCTCATTTCCTTTCACTCTCAGTAATCCTTTGCGCCTTAGTGACATTGTTGGCTTGCTTGCTGTGAAATGATTAAAAAAGAAATAAAAAAAGGGAATTCTGTCATGAGGAAATGCAATTACATGCTTGAGTAAAATATTTATCCACACTTTAGCATAATAAAATGTGCTACATGTTATTGTATAGCTAATGTATGTAAACTTAGTAAAATCTGAATTTTGAGATGTTATATTATCCTGTGTATTTCAAGCCTTGACATAAGTGTAATGATTGGTGTTTATTGTTTTGTTTTTCTTTTCTTTCTTTTTCTCTAGAATGATTCAAGGGACATGCAAGGTTTCCGGCTGTCCCTTTTACCACAAATTGGCCAAAGAAAAGATGCCCACTTGCTACTACTTCCTGAAAGGTCACTGCAACAGAGACAACTGTATTTACCCCCATGTGAAAGTAAACAAAAATGCCCACACCTGTGAGGACTTTCTTAACGGATATTGCAGTCGTGGTGAAAAGGTCAGTTGCCCTGTTAATTCTCTTTATACACCTAATCTAGATATCTCTAATCTAGATATCTCTACGGCATTTAAAAAAAAATAGAGCATAGTCTGATGAAAAAGACGCCAAAGTTTATGAAAACAAAATTTTATCATCAAAATGCTTATGTTTTTATGAAGAGGATAGACCAAATTTTTTTTTAATTATTTTTAAAAATTTTTCCATCTTTTTAGAACATTCTAAATTTTGATTTAAAAAAACCTTGTTTCTCTTTGTTGCAACATGGAGTAGTAAATAACATAGATAATTTTTAGTGCGTTTTTTTGTATTTACACACATTAATTTGGAAAATCTTGCAGAAATAAAAATAATTGTCAGATGTTAATGAAACTTTCAGAAACTATTCACAGATGATCGAAATTATTATAAATATGTTTTTTTTTTTATTAAAGTCATGGCAGAAATATATTTTTTTTATATTTATTAACACCCCCATATCTAATTTTATGAAAAACTCTAGAAATTCGTACCATTGGTTTTTAGTGATTACAATAGTTAAAGTTGAAAGAATGTAAATCATGTTTTTTTTTTTTTTTTTTTTTTTTTTTGCCCCCGTACCTGAAAATCAGCTCTGAATTGTAACATAAAAAACTCAATTAAAAACAAATATACTATTTAATTTCAAATGCTTTTATTTGTTTTTATTTGTTCGTATGAATATGGACAATATTTTCTGAAAAGCAAAAATTTTTTCAATGAAAATTGAATTTTTAATACAATTATTTCTTATTTCTTTAATTTTAAAAAGATTTTTTAAATTTTTTCATTGAATTTTTAAAATATTTTAACTTTAGTTAAAAGCACCATCAACCTTTCAAAATCTCCGCGTGAGATTGTCATTGTCTAGCGCATTGAAATTTTTTTCATTTGGACCAATCGGAATTGCAGAAGTAATTAATTCATGTAACTTTTGTGTACAGTCGGGCACTAATTATCAAGTATGGAAGACCAACCAGAATACAATTTAATCTCAGTTATGACATTTTTCCATAAATGAAATATCAAAATTAATAATAAAATGAATGGAAATACAAATAACACAGTAAAGTGTAATAAATGTACATAAAATTATAGTAGTTTATGTACACTTCTGATAAAATTTCATAAGAAAGGTACCTATAAATTAATTAGATACCTTTTTCTTATGAAATTTAATCTCACTATTAACAGTCTTATTTTTTAATTTCTTTATATTTTCCATAAAGCATCGTAAACGTAAAAATGAAAGCTAAGTACCAAAAAAAAAAAAAAAATTAAAAAATTAGAGCGCTAAAACTTTTCCTTAAAAGTAACGAGGTAAATAATTTGTTCACTTAAATAATTTCACTTCCTTCCATCCATAGAAAGAATTATCCTCCTGTAAGTTATGTAAACGTCATGAATGTGCCTTTCGTCACCTGTCAAAAGACGCGAAAGGTTATGACCTGCTTTGATTTATTTTCAAATTACATTTTTTCGGCGCAGAAGCTAAGTTAAGCTTGGTTCAAAATATTTTAAATAAACAGTATAATTTCTGTTTTTATTAAAATCAGTTTTGAAAAAATAATTGATTTTTAAAAGAATATCAAATTCAGATTTTAATCTTTTTTATCAAATCGAAAAAAATGATTGAAAATGATGGATTATCTGTCCTTTTTGACCAAAAAAAAACAATATTTTTAACGAAAATTTCAGACGTGCTAGGAACGATTAAAAAATGTAAAAAAATACCCCAAAAATACTTTGATCTTTCCTCTTTAATAATAATATGAACATTAGACGATGAAATTTTGTATTCGTCAAGTTTGGCGTTTTTTTCATCGTGCTATGCTCTTTTGTTTACATTTTTGTGGAGGTACCTAACCTAATCATTTTATGCTCATTTTATAGCAATAAAGTTTTGCCTAATCAGGAACAAGATCACAGTAGTGACACATCCTAGTGCCTACTGAACTTAAATGAAATCACTTGAACATTGTTTTATGGCAGAGCTTCATATACCTCTTGTTTGTAAACTGTTTGCTGTAATGGCATCATTGAAATCTAGGCTATACTATGGATTATTTATGATTCCAAATGGCCTTTCATCATTAAACATCTTATGATGGATATTGAAGAGGTGCTGAACTTTTTTTTTTTTTTTTTTTTTGTAACAAGTCTAGTCTGGCTTCATCCAATTCTTTTTCTCTTTACATTTATCTTCTGTAAATATAAATTGCACCTTGCTTTTGAATTTAAAAGTAATGTATAACGAGTATAATTTTCTCTCCAAAAAAAAAAAGTTTGAAACGTTAAAAAATTTGATTTACTCATCATCACAATTCATGTTTTTAAGTAGTTACAAAAAAGAAATGTCTGTATATTTGAAACACTAAAAGTAAATTCCCTAAAGGATCGAGATTATTTAAAAAAGACAAAAAACTTCTCTGAAAAATTCTAATGAATTACAATTTACTAGAAGCATGAAATAAAATCTTTCTTTCTCTTGATATTAGCAATTTATGGCCTTGGTATTTTTAACTCCTGTTTTCAGTGCACCATGAAGCATTTCTTTGTCTGCCAGAAATTCCAGGAGACTCAGGTTTGTAGCCACAATGCTTGTAAGTTCAAGTCTCGCCAAATGACTAAAGCCAAAATGCCGACTTCAGACAACAAATATTTAGATGCTGATCATGGCAAAAAGAAAAAAGCGTGAGTTGATGAAATCTTTTAAAAAAAAAAATATCTTTTGCTTTAATTTTTTTTTTTTTAAATTTATTTCCACCAAACAAAGCTTATTTTATTACATTTTTGATATTGCATGTTGGAGAAATAAATTTGTAATGCATTAACATTACAGATACTTTTTTAGTGTAAATCCAACTAAAATATTAATTTAATTCTAATCTTCTAAAATATGTTGTAGACTATTGTTTATTATCAAAGCTATTTCATATTAGCTGCAAATACATTGCACATTAATATAAATTTGTTCAAATTTAGATTTAATTGTTACAAACTTGTGTTACTTTATGTATCCACTTGATTTTTTTTTTGTTGTTGAAAAATTACTTTGATGTAATAAAAATATACAGATCAAATTTTTTCTCACTTTATGCCTTAATACTTAAATTATTTGTTTTTAGAATATTCTGTTTCTCTTATTGACATAAACAAATTCTATTCAACTGAGAGTCTGATTTTTTTTTTTTAATGAGCTATTGCGCATCCAGACCAAAATAGTGGATAAACTACCTTTTTGTTGAAAGCACTCAAGCGAAAAGTTAATTCATAATTTTGAAAATACAATTAAAAAAAAATTGTAACCTACATTCTTTGAATACTCAGATATGTATGTCTATTGAAGTCGAACTGAAATAGAAACCCTGAAGTCATGTGTAATTTTAAATCAATTCACCTGTGATGTAAAAATGTTTCCTCTTTTATCATGATCACTATGAATACAAACTATCTTTGGTTTGCTTTGATGTTGTTCTAACCTATTTGATTATTGTTTTAAAAGGTTCAATCTAACTTGTTTCTTATGGGAGAGAGGAGGGTATTGTCCTTTTTGTATTTGAATTAGTTTTTACTTATCTCTTGATTGTCAACTTGCAGCTGAGCTGTAGTTTGTCAATGTGATATTTTGCTTTCTATACTTTTGAATTGTCATTCATCTAGCAAACATTTTGTTTCATTCTCAATGCACATTAGTTGCATAGAAATTTAACTATGACATTCAAGAAAATAAAATTGTAGAATCTTAAAGCATGCATGGTGATTTTTGACCTCATTATGATATGTGAATGTTGTAGATGATCTGATAAAATTTTCAAGGTCTTTGGTTTCTGAAACTTGGGCCAGTATACAGTTTGATCTTTAGAGTATGATCGTGTATACAGTAATCAGCTTCAGTAGTGGGCAGGTATCACTGCTTCATTTTTTTTCTTTTCAGTTTAGAGCTGTCTGAGTGGATCTGGATTGTAAGTGTTTGTGAGATTGAATGATAATTTTGGCAAAAGTGGTGAAATGAACATACCTACATTTGTAGACAAGTCTCTGGTTGGCTGTGTGATATAGACACTTGCCAAGTGCATCTGTAAGGGAAGCAGTGTCAGTTTGTATGGCATCCCCAACACCATTGTGCAAGTCTCCTGAGATATGATGAGTGGTGCTCAGTAATGAGTAGGTTCTGCCTTTATGCAAGTGATGATCAGTTGCATATATGGTGTAAAGAGATGTCTTACAACATACAGATTCAACCCTGAACATTATTTTTTGAGGTATAAGTACAATCCTTAATTGCCTTTGGGGTTTGTGGATAGAATGTGCCATATGTCCAGAACCTTATTCAACCTGTTCTGCTATTCCTAGAACAGTCCATGTGCACTTTCAGCAAGATATTGCTTATTCACATGATAGCTCTAGCACTCAATATGCACTGCAAATGAATTTCTTACACAACTTCCAAAGCCAGCACAATCACCAGACATGGGACAATGCCTGATATGTTCAGTTAGCCTACCTACAGATTTGTTGTATTCTGTAATGGGTGCAATGTAAGAGATATTGCAGTATTATTGTATTCATCATCTGTACAAGTGTAGGCATGTTAGTATAAAGGCCTGTGTATGGAGTCTGAATACTCTATTTTGGAATCTATGCATATCTGTATATGTGATCATTTACTGTAATCTTGTTAGCTGCACATTTAATCTGCCGTAAGTTGAAAGTCATTCAGGGTGTTGCGATTTTATTTCCCATCAATGTATCATTTTTATAGTGTAAATAATTTTCATAACTAATAGATTATTATAAACTTGCTTGTTACTCTTTGGAAAATGAGTTTTTGTTCACTACCAACTAAATTTATTGCTACTATCCCTTTTTAGGGTCTCTTCAATCAGAAGGAGATCTGTGAAGTTGGTTCCTTCCACAGAGCCAATTCCAATCACTGAAAACTTGTCATTCATCTCACTGGGTAACTCCAGTGAGGATTCTTTACTTGATATCTCTGCGGAATCTACGTCTTTATCAAAATCAGCTCCCAAGGATGAACCAAGTGAGTATCAAATAGATATTTTTTTTCTCTCTCACTCAAATATGATTAGTAACTTGTTTGCTCATTTTGGGGAGTGGCGCTGAAACTAGAATGTCATCTGATGATAAACATAATGTGGGTAGGTTAACATTGTACTAAAATTTATTAAAAAAAAATTTTTTTCTTCTCAATTTTTTAAATTGAAACATTTTTTCTATTTGTAGAAGAAACCCTGCGTATCCGACCTCGTCTCTGAATTTTAATAACATTTTAAAATGTAAGATTTCAGGTAATTCTTTTTTTTTTCTTTCTTTTTGCATGCAGATTTTATTATTTTAAAAAAAATTGTATTAACCAACTGATTTTGTTAAACTTTTCAGGATATTTATATGAGCAACATCTTGTTTCAGTTTATATCCATCCTTATTAACACACACACACACACACACATATATATATATATATATATATATATAAAAAAAATTTTGAGAGTATTAAGTATTGAACAGTTAAAAAAATTGATGGTGAGCTATTTACTGCCCAAAACATTACTCTGCCACCTCTAGGTGACAATTTCTGTGAAGGACCCAATCACTGGCCCCACCCTAAGGTCAGTTCAGTGAAACTTGACAGTTATCATTTGAAAATTACTGCTTGTAAATCCATCTTCATGTATTTCTTCATTTTAATTTTTTATATTGCTTTCATGCCTTTAGCCAAGGTTCTTAATATTCTGTATCATTTCTCTGTTTACATTTGAAACATCACTTTCTTCAAATATCTTTTTACTGAACCTTCTCTTAAAGCTAATTTAGTTTATTATTTTTGATTGTTGCAATCTCTGTTCAACTTATTTACACTTTTCAATGTTCTTCCATTACTAAATAATGTTACAATATTTTTTCTTTTAAACTTGTATCTTTGAGCCATAGCAGTCTTTATACATTTGAAATTTAGCCTTATAGCCTTAAGTTTTATATCATCTCAGGTATGTCACCAAAAGTTATTGTAATTATTTTTAATAAAACCAGATTATAAGCTGAAATACACATGGCATATTTATCATTTGTTAAATTTTAACTTCTGTTGTATAATACCAATTCTATTGTGAAAAGATCGGTTTATATACAATCTGATATAATATATGTAAAATTTCCTGCTCACACACGATGTAGACTTTTCCCCCTTTATAAATTTCTGTTTAATATTTAGTTACTTAAGCTTTAAACAGTGAGTTTCTGACTGTATTTAAAGAGATATAACTTAATTTCTTAGCATTATTTCTGTAATATTGCAGAAAGGGGAATCCTTATGTCTTCAGTTATTAAAGAATATTGTTGGAAAATTCATTGTGGCATTTTTAAAATTTCTTGGAAAATTTGTCTTATAGGTTGCTTGTAGTGCTTATTTTATCCTCTTTTTATTTTGCCTTGCATCCTTTTTTTCCCTTTGCTGATGCTTTTGTTATCAATAATCTTTTTTTTTTTTTTCTCTTATGGATATTTTGCAAACAGCCATCTGGTCATTAGCAAATAATTTTAGAATCTTTCTGGAAAGCAAGGTAAAAAGTTTTGCTTATTTAACAAGAATTAAGTATATAAGCCACAAAGTGGCCAAATTAGTAGTTTTTGTTTTTGTTCCCTCCATGCTTAAATTTGAATTTTTTAGTGAAATAACTTTATAAATAAACCAAGCTTTCTGTGTCTGCTATAGGGCAATGGTTAATGGGATAGACAGTAATGTAAGTCTTGGCTAATGACAGCTCTTCACTCTCTTTCTATGTAAATGTGACCTTAATCTGAAGCTGCCTTTATCCAAGGAATAATCATTATAACAAGACTTATGCAAATCACAATTTGGAGGGATTCAATCATTGCATTAGATATTTAAGTAATTATATGTAGAAATTAACATTTAAAAGAGATGAACATTAGTAATTCTTATTAGAGAATCTTTATAAAATTATCATTCAGATATTAGTCTATAAATGAAATTGTAATATTTCTGTATTACATGTAAGATGTTTATATATGTGTACTTATAGGCAGCAAGAGTTCATCTTTAACAAAACTGGTGTTTTGTTTGTAGACATAGAAATCAACACTGAATACTGACTGGTAGTTTCCTTCAGATTATATGATAATAGCTGAAAGTATGAAACTGCCAGTCACAATGCAGTGTTGATTTCTCTCTCTGTTTATACCAACATTGCCCAATATTGAGTAGTACTCTTCCCTTATATATATATATATATATATATATATATATATATATATATATATATATATATATATATAGGCAATTGTTTACAATGTTGTAATAAAAATCAAATTTATACATACAAATAAGTTTTTAAATTACGTTAAAAGTTTTATTTGTTTTCTGGCTATAAACTGCTTGGTTTAAAATTAACTTCCGCTTGCATTTATCCCAGGCTAAACCATTTAAAAGTAGTACAAAAAAAACTTTTTTTTTTTTTTTTTTTTCTGATCATAAGGCTTTAACATGACTTATTTGCATTTACTTGCGGTAAATAGGGAAAATGAAGCAGTTAATACAAACTTGACATGCTGGAAGTTCAGTGGATTTTTTTTTTTTTTTTTAATCAGTATCACCCCAAACAAAGCAGTACAGCCACTAGCATGCAAGGGGTTAAAGGGTGGGGAAGAATTAGGAACAGAAACATTAATAATGAGGAGAAAGAAAAGAGCAATCAGGAGGACATTGCATTTAAATTTTTGCAGATTAAAATTGGTTGGAAAGCATGGAGACAGGAGAGAGTTCCACAAGCGAGAAGTGTGAGATAAGAAACTGTTAGCAGAGAATTTACAGCTACATCTAGTTAGCTCAACTGTAAATTGATAAGATCTTGCTGTCAGTCTAGTATTGTACTTAAATTCATTAAGTCTAGGTACCATAGTGAAGAACTCATCTGAACAATTACCATAAAAGTATTTATAAAAGAAGGACAAAGAGGCAACCTTATGGTGGTGGGAAATTGACTGAAGCTGAGCTGCCAGATCAGGACCAAAAATATTGCTGATTCTTCTTTGGAACTTGTCAGGGAGCTCCAGGAAAATAGCAGGGACACTGGACCATATATGGAAGCAATATTCTAAGCATGGATGGATGGTAGACTTATAGATATGCAAGATAGATTCTGGAGAGAAAAATTGTTTCTCCCAACACAGTGAACAGACTTTCTTAGCAGCTGACGAGTGATGGATTCAATATAGTCTTTTCACCTCATGTTAGCTGAGAACATTAGCCTGAGAAGGTGCAATGAGTCACTTTCTTGGAGGATAGCATCAGCCATGCTGATGGAAGGCAGAGAGGGGTCCCTCAGATGATTAATGGAGAGAAGTTTAGTTTTGGAGGCATTAAAAATTGTCAATCCATCTTTTGCCTCAGTTAACAATTGTCTTGAGGTCATTTTGTACATCACTTGCCATTTTGACTTTGTCTGACTTATTAGCCTTACTATCGAAGCAGGAGTAAGTGGTAGTGTTGTCAGTGTAGATACCAAGTTGAGAGCTGGTGTTATCGGGAACGTGGGGGACACGCATGTTAGTACGAAAGGATGTAGACGAGTGTCTGTTCAGGATAACTTTCATTTTACAATTTGATAGGAACAATTGGATCAGATAAAAAATGTGCCCAGTGATACCGTAACTTTCAGCCTGTGGAGAAGACCTGAATGCCAGACCCTGTCAAAGACTTTCAAGATGTCCAATGCTACAGCCTGAGCTTAACCTTTTTTTTTCTAAAGCCTGATAGACTCTTTCCACAGTTATCATTAGTACATCAGCAGTTGATCTGGAGCAATGGAAAATGTATTGCTTGTCTGAGAAAAAGCCTTGTGATGAGATGATGAACCAATTCAACATTGATTAGGGCCTCTAGGAGTTTCCCCAAGAAGAGGTAGAAGGCTTAATAGGCTGATCGTTGGATGGGTTAGATGGTTCACCAGAGTTCTCCAAAGCTGGAACAACAGACAATGACTTCCAGAAAGCAGGAGCTAGTTTGGGAGCACACTTCTAATGACTATTACAAGGATGTCATGAGGTCCACATGCTTTGTAGGGATCAAGGTTAGAGATGATAGCAGAAACCATGGAAGGGGTTATATGCATATCACTCAGCAGAGAATCAATTCTAAGTGGAAAGTTAGGCAGGAATACTCCAGATAAGTCGAGACTAGAGCTTGAGGAGAATTTATGGGCAAAACATTCAGTTTTATCAGCAGTGAATGATAACACCTCAAATCAATTGAAGAGAGAAGGGGAATAGAAACCTTGCACTTATTTAGTACCCTATTAAAGAGATGCCAGTCATCACAAGAGCCAAAATTTTTAGAGGTTATGTGGTGCCTCATTTTCTCCGCAAACAGGGACTTAGCTTCTATGAGGAATTGCTTACATTTGTTATGAGCAGTAGCAAATAGGCACCTGTTATGACGAGAGCTGTCACACTGGTATAGCTGGAAATAGTGGTTCCTGTGTGTTATGGTGGCAGTGCCTCCTGGTGTGAACCATGGAGAGGATTGCAGTTTCAACTGGTATTTCTGAGAAGGGATGAAAGCGTCCATGCCAGCTTTGACTCAAGAAGAAACCTCATTGGTGCAATTTTCAATTGGGAGATTGATGATGTCAGTTGAAAAGGCATCATGGAAAAAAATCCCAGAATATTTCCCAATCAGCATGCTGGTACCAGAAAGAGGTTTTATGGATAGGGTATTCCTGTTTAATGGATGCTTGGAAGGAGATAATAGCTACCACAGAGTGGTCTGAGTTACCAAGAGGGCAGTATTGTGAAGCTTAGCAAGAGCGGAGAAAGGATGTAAGAAAGAGATCCAATAGAAAAGCATGTTGCTCGATTTGGCTAGGGAAACAAGTAGGGAAGTCCATGATTTGAGTAAGGGATTGGGCAGGGGGAAAATTTCATGTCTGTATACTGGCAACATCAGTACCTTTTTAGAAAGTTTCATCCATGTGTCTTGGTTAGCATTAAACTCAGCAAGGACAAAGATCTTTGCAGATGGATGGAGAGAAAGTGCCTTTTGTATACTGTCAGCTATTGCGTCTAATTTCTGATTTGGTTTTTGTGCCAATTTGTGAATTCTATCTTTTCAGGTTGGGCCTTCCTTCCTTCCTTCTCATTATGAAGAGGTTTCCAGTCTGGTTTGTATTGTCATCCTCTTCACTCTTTGCAAACTTCCTCCCACTCTTTCACTTGCACATCTGCCTCTTCTCAACAA